GAGTTGTTTTATATGATTTCATTTGTTACATATTGTGTTTCATTGCATCTATTGTATCGTTATACCATTGTATCATGATATCGCATTGAGCTATTGTGTACATATATGCCACCATTGTCATGTATATTAGAGCGCTTGTCTTCAGTGTAACGTAGTGACGTTAGTCGTGAAATATAGATGTGCCGAAGTGTATGTGCCCTGTTACTGGAATGGTATGAAGCCTTTGTGTTCTGTACATGCTGTAAATAAATTTTTTCTGAACACAAGTTCTGTACATGCTGTAAATAAATTTTTTCTAAACACAAATTTCGGACAGAGGCTACCGGGACGGCTTTATGCTCTCCTATAGTAGAGTAAGTACCTAGTGCTCTGATTTGTTAACAACTTTTTCTAAACACACCTACTTTTTAGGAGCGAAGCTCCCTATAGCGGCCTCTGTTCGTCCCTCGTAGCTGTTTTAGTATGTAACAAGTATAACATTTTGACTTCCAAGGTGGTGCCGGTGAGAGATTTCTTCTGTGCGTTGTTGAACAATAAAAAATAGTGCTCAATGTACATGCCAATGGCTGCTAATGGGAAATGAGAGACAGGAGAACTCGGCTTTTAGTTAACGCGCACGTTGCGATCTCCATTAGCAGCCATTGGCATGTACATTGATCACTATCTGACAACAAAGAGTTCTCGCTGGGTGTAACCTCCTTAGTTTTAGAAATCTTTAGCGAGCGTTGAGCCGCAGTGCCATAAAAACAATGAACTAGTAAATACCATGAATGAACTCGAGGTGGTTAAAGGTGGAAAGTAGATACGAAGCGCAAGCCGTAAGAAAGTAAAAGCCGAATTCTCCTGTCTCTCATTTCCCATTAGCAGCCATTGGCATGTACAATGAGCACAATCTGACAGGAAGAGGTTGCTACGTTGTACTCGCTGGGCGTAAACTCCTTGGTTTTAGAAAAGTTTATCGAGCGTTGGGCCGCAGTGCCATGAATACAGTGAACTAGTATATACCATTACCTCGAGGTGGTTAAAGGTGGGAAGTAGACCCGAAGCGCAAGCCGTAAGAAAATGTGCGTGTACCACCTCTCATTTAGTCCTTGGAATGTCCGCTGGATGGCGGTGTTTCTATATGAGGAATATATGATGAAAAGATGTGAGATGGTGGTACTTGGAGTGTTGAATAGATGGACGAACGGACACAAAGACAGATGCATGGATGGACGCATGAACAGACGCAGGGGCGGATGCATGGATGAGCGCCGGGATGGACGCACAAACAGACGCACGCACGGATGGGCGGATGGACGCATGGACGGTCACACAGACGGACGCATGGACGCACGGAAGCAAGAATGAATGGGCGGATGAATTCTCCGCCCCTCTCTCCATCATTCACTGCGTGGTTATGCTGCCATTTTTTTTTGTGAACACAGAAATCTCTCTTATTAGAGGTGAAGTTCCTTAAGCCGTGGGTTGTGTGTCCTTGGTGTATGTAGTAGGTAGTCACATCTCGCTTATTTCTTGGAATGTACGCTAGATGGCGGTATTTGTGTATGATGAATATCATACACAATAATACCGCCATCTAGCCAGGAAATTGACTAGTAAATTCTTAGAAAACAGCAGGTGACCAAACCAAAAAGAACTATTGGTTAAGAAGAAAGTGAAGGAAACAGAGACTGGCATGTAGAGAATTGGCATGATTAAGAAGTCCGCACTAGAGATCTATCGAACTTTTAAGCAGGAAATTGCCAAAAAAAGGATCTATGATAATACTCGGTGTAGTTCTCTACTGTTTGAGGCCAGGACGGGAGTATTGCGAACCAAGACATATCGTGCCAAATACGAAGGGGTAGACACAGTATGCAGTGCGTGTGGAGAGGAAGAAGAAACTGCTGAACATTTGATAGTCTTCTGTAAAGGGCTTCACCCTACAGTTCATTACGATGGCGCAAAGTTTTTCAAAGCGCTGGGGTTTAGAGACAGAGAGGGCAAAATAGACTTTAAGCGGGTAGACTTAACTAGAAAGAGGTTATCTGATTGGGGGCTAAAGTCAAGGCACGAGTGAAAATTAAACCCTTCACTGCAAAGTACGAATCTTCAACCTCACCATTTAAAGTAAAAAAAGATAAATATAATGGTTAGTTCACTAAGTATTGCGGCTAGGTGGCGTTAGCCGCGGCCTGATCTAAAGGGTACAGCCACATCCATCCATCCATTCATCCATCCATCCGAATATATGATGAAACGATGCGAGATTGCGGTACATGGAGTGTTCACTAGATGGACAAATAGACAGACGGACACGGTCAGTGGACGGACAATTCGAGGTTTACCGCTTAAACCCTTCGAAGTTTCGCCCCACTCATCATCATTCACTCCGTGGATATGCTGTGATTTTTTTTCTTGAGTCCGCACTTGGCACGCCTTTCTTCTCTCCTATAGTAGAGTACCAAGGGCTCTGAATCGTTAAACTTTTTTTTCTAAACACACAATGCACTCATTTTAAACTGTCACTAACGGCGAAGGCAACAATCATCAAGACGCAGGGATGTGATTTTGCGTTCTCCTACCTCTCATTGTAACAGAATGCCTCGCCTTCCTTATGAACACCTTCCTCTCGGGAGGAAAACCAGCAAAGGTGCAAAGAAAATTTTTATAGCTCCCCACGAGCCGCGGAGGCCTTGGTCTCCCAAACATAGCAGCGTTCAAGAGAGCACTAGCTGCCAAAACAACACAAAAGCTCTTCGATGACGAAAATTTCTCTGGGTACAGGCTCTTTACATACTGAAGCAGTGCGGTAAAAGGAACTTTCACGGCTACTCCGTACATCGGACCACGAGCACAAATTCCACTTAAGGTTTATAGAGCTGCTAGTGGCCTTTTGTATTTGAATCAATGGTTTCGTGCAGTCTCGAAGATGTTTCATCACAGGAAATAAGTGAAATGGTCACAATCAGCACACCGAGCATGGAGGAAGAATACGAATACTGCGTAAAAAATTGAAATGATGGCGTTGCGATCGCGTACCTAATGAAGTGCACGAGTTTATTTGAGAAGATAGAAGACATTGCTCACGCGTGATCGGTTAGCATATTGGGGAGTCGTTCCAAATGGCCGCTGCCTAAACTTCGGCAAAAGAGAAACGGCCTAACATGCTCTGTTTCAGTGCTCGGTAGCGAAGGGCGTCTGGCACATGGTACAACACCTCATTGGCTTTCGCACAGTGCGCGTGGGAACAGAGCATGGACTGTTGCCAAGACTGTTCTTTACAGTGACCTTGTACGTGCTGTGGCGGCGACGCTGTCTAGAGGAAGTACGGCACAAGCCTCAAAGAGGCGCCTATCCGGAACTAAAGAAAATATGGTTCATTGTGTGGAATTATCTCGATGAGCAGCTGGAAACACACGCACACGGCGAAGAGACTTTCCTTCGACGATGGCACACACGTTTCTTCAAAGTAGGAGAGGGACAGCTGAAGTTTACAGTTGTTTCGTACTAGCCATGTGCCCACTATAGTAAGCATTCATTCGTGGCATTCTCGGAAATGTGAATAACTCGATTCATTTTAAGTTTTCTTTAACTTGTAACATTCGAAGACACATGGATAAATTAAATTTTAGTGCTCATTTGTAAGATGTGTAACCTGTCTTTAGTTACGCCTACAAGAAAACTTCCTTTTTTCAATGCATATAGGAGAGTACAAAGTACTCTAAATCGTTATACACTTTTTCTAACCACGTGCTTTAAATCATTCGTGATTCGTTCTAGATGTGTGTATATATAGAAAGTTTGGTTATTGCCAAAAGAGGGAATAAATTTTTATTAGCAAATGTATATACAGAGCCTTTGTTGAGTGGGGCCCTGAGTTAAGGGCTCCATAGCCTTGCGCGACCCTGTGAAGATAAAACCATGGAGGTAGAAAAACTTGGAGGAAGCATTACATCACGCAACCAACCAACGTTCCGTGACGCCAGTAGATCGGCCGGTGGAAATACAAACATGGATTTTACTCGTTATTACTAAAGCTTACCGTGCCTTCTGACGTTGTGGCCGGATGTTTGGCTGACACAGTTGGCTCTATTAGTAACGCGCATGCAAAGTTCCTTTCCTTTTCCCTCACGTGTGCAAAAAAAAAACAAAACAAACTTGGGCAGCTACACAAGAACAGTGCGAATTTACTGAGGAAACAGAGAAGCTGGTGGCCTTTCCATCCTCATTTCCCTCACAACACTCCACATCACCTTGTTTCTCTTTCTCTCCTGCTTGCTCTACTGAGATATGCCCTACTGTGTTAGGCTTTCGTTAAATCTATTCCTCGTTCTTTTTGTCTCTTTCTTTTTATGTTTCTCTTTTCTCTATTTTTTCCCTCGTTATCTCGCCCTTAGCATATTCTACCTGCATGCCCAAATAGCCCGAATGGTTATGACGATAGCCTTCAGACTATGGCGACCCGGGTTCGAGTCCCGTCTGTCTCAGAAATGCGATTGCTTGATTTGTTTTTTTCTCACCCTCTTCTCCTTTACTTTCTCCAATGCGTTTTTAGGCGCCGAATAGTGTCGTCATCGCTCTGCGAGGCTTTTCTGCGAACACTTACTGGCCTAACCTGCACATTCAAGAGGTTACATGTTGATAATATTCAGCCAGTTCTACGCCGTGATGACTGTGACAGAGTGATGTTGTAAGTGTGCGAGTGTGTGACGGGCTAGCGAGATCACATACATCGTGAGAATGATCATCGGCATTTCATTTTATTGGCCATGTGACAAGTACAACACTACCACTGTTACTACTACTGCTGCTGATACTAACTACTCATACTGCCAATATAGTGCTAAACAATGGAGACTAGGACAACTTTGCCTTAAAATTGAACATAATGTCGGCTAGTATTGTCCTGTTGAAATATGCAGATCAACCTCCCCGTTGACCCTCACGCTTGAAAGCCGACCACAAGTCAGTTCATAACTCTGCCTGACTCCTAGTCATTAATCTCTTTTCTCCAGCACCAAGTGAGCGCTGCCCACGAAGCCATCATCAGCGGCGACCAGGCGAAGCTCGAGGAACTGGCCGCCTCGGACGCTCAGCTGCTGCGGGCGAGAAGCGACCTGGGTTGCCATCCGATACACGCGGCCATCGAGGCCCGAAACCTCGAGGCGGCAAAGCTCATACTGGATGCCTTCCCAGCTGCCATAAACCTCAAGGCACCGGTGAGCTGGGACACGGGAATTGTGCCGCAATTTTCATAGCCTTGACACGAACCGCGCAGCTTTGGCTCCCGCCGACGTGCAACAGATTTAACAGATGTGAATTTCATAGGCTATAGTGTGATTTTATAAATAAGCGTGTAAAGAGAAGATCACGATTGCTTTTTTTTTCACCGCTTTCTCCTTCTGCTTTTTTTATTGCGAAAACCGAACGGGGATTATAGTACCAGGTATCTCTCGGAGCTCTTATTTGTATATGACGATCCTCTGGGTAAAATGAGTATGACAAGAACGGGCTTTGCCTTCATTTACAAAAACAACTTATGGAAGTCAAAGAATTCAGACCTGGAATCGCATGCCTAACCATGTCTGTATTGTTTGTCTTTTCGTTTCTTTTTCTGCAGTTGTAGGTAGCTGCTAACCCATTTGTTCTTTTTTTTTCAGCACGGCCGAAACCCATTGCATTTAGCGGCACTTCGAAGGGATGACGATATGTACAAGTTTCTCGTGGATAGTGGAGCAGACCCGAAGGCATTGGATCAGGTGAGGCATTAGTAGTTGCTCTGAAGAGAACGTGTAACCTATGGTTCATATATTCACCGCTTGTCATGCCAACACCCATCATTTCTAAGGCTTCCACTTTTGTTTCTGTTTTTTTTTCAGAAAGGGAAGACTGCAGAGTACTACCTAAAGAACAGCAGAAAACGGCGATCAAGATCCACGGCGTCAGTGTACGACACGTCGCTAGAGCGGTCGTCCTCAGTCCGGGACACGAAGCCGGCCATCATAGATACGGCCGCGCGTAGCACCGAGCTCGAAACCATAACGGTGCCCGCCGATAAAGGCGCGCTTGGGGCTGCCGGAGACGGCGTCGTAAGCCATGGCGACAAAAGCGCCGAAGGGACGGCGGGCGTCGCGAACGCAGCGGCAGAACGCGGCGACGAGGCGACTGAGGCGACCGGCGATAACGAATCTGGCCAGAGTGGCTCGAGTGATGGTGGAGGTAAGGACCACGATAGCCCAGCGTTGGCTTCCGCAGGGAGCGATGTCGCCGCGGCCAAAGACGTGTCTGGTGCGACGCTCGAAGCCGTTAACGATGGCCGAGCGCCGATCTCTGAGGCCGCCGGAGCCGTTTCGAAGGAAGGTCGTAGTGACCAGGAAGACACGCAGGGAGCATGCGCTGTTGATGCCTCCTCCACCTCCTTCTCCTCTTCCTCCTCTGATTCCCCACCCACTGTCACTGCCGTTTCTTCTGACGATGGTGGGGCTCGTCGAGAGACGCATCCTGGTCTGGGCAAAGAAGGCCAGGGCTCCTCTGATGATGCTAGAACTGATGTAACTGAAATTGTTGGTGCAGGTGTCGAAAGTGGGGGCGAAAATGGCGAGGATGCAGAGAATCTAGAATCGAGGGAACAGTGTAGTACTGGCATGACGGATGAAAGTATGGTGCCTTCCTCGGAAAATGCGGTAAGCGAAACAAAAGCTAATGACGCAGAGGTGAATGATAACGATGCACGTAAAGGGCAGCATGGTGATGAAGACTTACGTCGAGCAGGACAATTTAAGGAGATCGATAAGAGTGAGCTCTCTCAGGGAACGTGCAACAAAAGCAACACGGAAAATAAAAGTAATGGAGGTAGTCAGACAAGCAAGAGCCTTTCAAAGGTAACTGATGAATCTGAATCGTTTAAGAAAGGTGAATGCTTAAACAAACTTCAAGGAGCCGTAGAAGATGTGGCACTATCTCACGCCATCAAAAACGTGGACCTTGCTCAAGATTCGAAAAGAGGAGTTGAACACGGCCTCGAGAGTGCTGAAGTTGTCCTTCCAGACAAGAAGGATGGCGCGCATGCAGCCGCCAATAACGCTGGCATTTCACATGATCCCGAAAACAACGCGAATGGCTGTGATGATCTAAATGCAGAAAACTTAATGAAGGAATCACCAACTAGGAGAAGCAGTTCTGGAGGAAAGTGTCACAATTCCGCGGGTGGTGAGAAACCGAAAACTGATACTCGCACGCAATCCGATGGAGACAAGAATCAAGCAAGTGAGATCATACGCGATCAGCGTGCCAGCGACCCGAATGGCGAGAAAGATGACTTTTTGTCCGAACACTTGAGTCCCGACGGTGCTTTCAGTCCCGTTGAAACGGGTGCCTTACAAAGTATGCCGGAAGCTACTCGCGAAACGAATATTTCGCAAAATGCTGGTGTTAGTGAACATAGTCCGAAAACACGAGCGGAAATAGAAAAGAGTGAACATGCTGACCAAGTAACTGACGCTGAAGTTACAACCAGGTCAAACGACACAACGCCTGTCCATGACCCAAGCGGTGACGACGTCATCGTTCATTGCAAATCTATAAAAGAGAGGCCCAAGGCATTTGCTTCCAGTGAAGCGGGGACAGGAGACATCGAGGACAGAGCAGTGAAAGTCGATGGTGTGGACTTTAAGAATCCTAAAGACAGTAATGGGAGTGAGGACAGAATACCTTTGGAAGCTGTGAAGCTAAGTGGGCAACCAGTCAAGGAATCTACCGACAAGCCGCCGTCCAGTAAGGCTGACAAGAGACTTGTACGTGAACAAAAACTAGTTGCTAAGCCAGGTGGTGCAAAAGACACAAGTAACGGAAAGCCGAACCCTAGAAGAAGCAGCAGTATGGCGTCCATGAAGACACACTTGACTAAAAGCATGTCTCGACATTCTTTAAATACCGAGGAAAAGGATGGTTCAAGGAACAACAAACAAAGTTCTTTGGAGACAAGAAAAACGGGGAGTAGTCAGAACAAAACTTTGAGAACAAATTCTGCAGCCACACTTGCCACGGACAAGTCGCCCACGGGAGAACAGAGAAAAGGAGATCAGAATGGAACAAGGGCTGCGGTAGAGGACCCAGATGGTAAAGCTACCAACATGAAAAGCCGTAACGAAAGCAGTCAAGGCAATGTAGAGGTTCCTCACAAGCTTAGTGCGAACGAACCTGACCGTGAAGGTGCACGCAAAGTAACGAAAGAGCGAGAGCACGAGACTGCGCAAACAGAGCGTAAAACGAGAGACAGCAGTGCTTCACAATCGCAAAAAAGTCTGGGTGTGGCTATTTTCGATACAACCCAAGAAGAAATGTTGCGTACCCAAGGGTCTGTGGACAAACCTTCTGCCAACGAGGGTGTGACAACTACCCACGTTTGTGAAGGATTGGAAGAAACCACGTCGAGCGACAAGCAAAACGAAGCAAGCAAGCAACGCTCAGTGGACACTCAAAGCTCGGACGAAGCACCAGGTGCATCTCAAAAACACAAATGTGCAATTGGCGACGAAGGTGCAAGTTCCGGTATGACGGAAGGTCAAGGAGGTTCAAGGGAACTACTGAAAGAACCGGTAGCCGTGCCGGAAAGTTTGGTAGCACCTGCCTCAGCTGAGCCTTCAAAACCCATGGCTCCAAAAGAACATGTCCATGTCGACACTGACAACGCACTCGAGAAAGCGGGCAATTCAAATCCACAGCCGTTGGAGACATCCCAAGCTAGAGAACCACGCCGGAGAAGCGCGGAAAAAGTGCCGAACAATAAGGGGAGTAAAGTGTCAAGTAACACGTCGGCGCAACTGGGTGAGTATGCATACAGTGTTCGGAGCTGACGCGTGCGCACCCAGCTTCTTGGCAGACACGCCGTGCGCATGTTCAGAATAACACCCGGGAGCACTTCATCGGGGCCGCTGTTCAGACATCACAAAACACTCCCCATTTCATCCAACAACACTGGCCTGCCAAAGGGAACCCCTGCAAATGGGACACTCACTTGCCGAGTCACCGCGACACGTATTCCGACATATTCACCTGCGTGCCTGAACCCCACTCCTGCCGTGCTTTTCGCATAAAAAAAACTCTCATCATCACTCACCATTCACTAGCGTCGCTTTGCCATGGTACCCCAAGTACCATTTTGAATCTAGTCTCATTTCTTTCTCCCTAGTACGCTCTTCGTCACCTGCAGCACCCTGAAAGAGAAAAAGATTTTTTCATGCGTGCGCACACTGCACTGTGGCTTGTTTTCTCCGTCTATGCTATCCTGTCCTTTCAGGGACAGGACTGATCCCATAATGCCGTTTCCTCTTATTATAAGTGCCAGCAGCAACGCGGCTGCCACAGCACTAAACACCGCACCATTGCTTGCCATTCTCACATTACCTTGAAGATGCAGTACTCACGTTGCCTTAAAAGTGCAGTAAGTCGAGCAAGGTGCAGGCTAATGTATAACGTGTAAAATACGTGCTGTCTTCTGATACCGATATCTTAATTTTTTTTGTTTAAGCAGCTTAAGCAGTTTAAGCAGTTTAACAGCTTTAAGCAGCTTTAAGAGCATTGCAATGTGATTACCTTGTGCGTAACGTTGATATTGGAGGCGAAATTTTTCAGCTTTACAACTTCCACATGTTTATAGAATTGCCGGAAGAAATATATTGATTCATAACTTCGAACCTAACATAATTGTTTAATGTGTCGTGAGAAAGAGAAAGACAACGAGTTTTGACCATTGTTGCTGTGCTCTGTTCCGTCGGTGACATACCTCGACTGTTAAAGGCATGGCTGCCTCGTAGATTATTCGACGTACGACAACTGGAAATGTTTATAAAAGTTTAGGGGGGTAGCTTGCTGAGTGAGCTGGTATTGTATCACCGCAGAAAGCAGCGCAAGAAACGAAATCAAAGAAAAGGGCTACATGTACGCAGCATTGTGCACGTATTGTCTTTGGCCTTTTTCATCGTTTTTTTTTTTTGCACTACCTTCTACGGCGATGAAAGTTGATAGTAGAAAAACTAACGGCTGAAAGCCGCATCGAATAACTAGTCCATCTTCATGGTAGACTGAAACTGGATTGCTGGAACTAATTCTGACATGTATGTGCCCCGCAGTGGAGATGGCATGGAAGTGCGCTCGATAGAAAGCTAGACGCAGCTAAAGCATGACTAAACTTTTAGAGATTGCTACCAAGAGTGGCGGGGCCGTTGTTAACCGCAGCGACAGTTCGTAAAAAGCCAGCGCACAACATACTGGCAAGTAACTTTAGTGGTGGTTCCAAAAGTTTAGTGAGTAAAGATGGCTAGTCGTTTCATAGGATCTGTTTTTGCAACTATAATGTTGCAGCTGGCGTTATTTCAAGGAAGCGAAAAGGAACCAGATACGTTCATTCGCTCCTGTTCGCGCTGCTCAGAACACGAAAGTTGGGAACATGGTTGGTAGAGCCAGGCATCTAGATGTGTTAGCGTTTACTTGTGCGTCTATCACACCGTGATGAATAACGGAATTAGTTAGGTAGTGTTTCCTGCTGTACATTATCTCGACAAGCCTACGCACCTTATTTTTTGTAGCTGTCTATTACACCATTGCCGCAACTTGTTCATAACGTTTCGGGTGAAAGTGCGAGGATCATTCCCGCTTCACATTTTTTTCAGTTATAATGCAGCTTAGCAGACTTTTTCAAAGGGTGAACTTTGACTATTGCTAGGTCCGCCCACTGCATAGGTTTTTTTTGGGTATAAATGTCTAAAAGAAGTGCAAAGGGCGAAAAACTGCGTATTTAACTCAATGTTATTATGGCCGTGCGAGGAAATCAGGTTTTTTTTTTTAAATTTCTGTCAATCGAAGCATCCACAATGATCTTCAAGTGATTAGTGACAGCTGTCTTGGACCAACCGCCTTCAGTGCTCTCAAATTGACACGGTAAAATTTGCGTATAGGACGCTCAGTTGATACCTCATAAAATTTTTGGACGAAGAAAATATTTTTGCTGACTCGCATTTCTTTTAGTCAAGAGGCTTGTGGATCGTCTGATTCGCAAATCTTTAAAGAATTTCGCAATGACCATTTTTTGTTTTCTTTTTGCTATTGCAAAATCACCTGAAGCCGTACCGTTTCAGATCGACTGAATGAGCTCATCGACGTTTGGATCAAGGAAGGCGACTTACTTCGTCTCGAACATGTGGTCATCGCCGGCCAGGGGGAGCGGCTACTCAACAAGAGTTCCGACGATAAGCAGGTCCAGGAGTTTCTGGGACTCGTACCTGCCTACATGGTGGGTAACCATGAGCGAGTAACCAATATTCTACCAGGAAGTAATCAATGCATCACCATGTTGACGAACAGCCGTCAGCAAGCGTTTACGGGACGTGGGCAGCTCTGCAAATAACTGCAGCGAATAACTGTGCAGTTCGCGCAACATCAAGCAGCGCTCAGAATTAGCGTTAGGCAGTATCGCAGTCGTCGCTTACATTTTATTGCGATAGCTATTATGGGGACACCCTCGGCTAGATCTTGCCGCCGGTTTCAACGTCGCCATCACTCACCGTATATGTATACGTATTTATATAAATGAAAATGCAAGAAAGAAAAATAATCCAGAAAAAGACTCCGGTGCGCGGAATCGACCGTGGGACCTCTCAATAGTGAGTGCGAGGCGTTAACCACTGAGCTACGAAGGAGCACCTCCTTCAACATTCAAACGCCAAGCAAAGAGGCATCTCGGTAGGAACTACCGTGTTTTCAGCATTACCAACAAGGTGGCGCTCTCATCTCCCACGCGTACTTTGCCCCGCGGAGAGGGCGTAGGGTGGCCACTCACGCGTGTGCTTATCTCACGATGGTGACAATCATACGTCTCGGCTGGCCTTGGGCTTTTACCGCAACAATTCTGTTGTTGTTACCAGGTGCCCAAATGTCACTGCAATCGTTTCACAGGCTCCGTTTGCGAAAAGGGCGCGCATTTCAGACGCAGCGAAGTAACAACTGAGCTGTTTATTCGCGTTCATCTGTACCTCTAAGTACGTTTCGTGCGTCATTTGTGCTAGAAAAACGTGGGGCATGTTACGATCTGCTTGCCGTTTTGTGTGTGACCTTCCATGTGTGTGACCTTGTTGCTATCATATTCATTGCTTTGCCTTTGTGGCAACGCTGTGACTTTTTTTTTCCCCTGCACCTCTTCATATAGCTTGTATCACCTTCTCCGTGCGTGGCACTAAACCCACGAATATTTGCATAAGTCAATCGAGTGCAAAAACTAAGAGAAACCGCTAATCTTTGCGTGAGTGATGCCGTGTTGGACAATGAGAACACGCTTAGATTAGTTGAATGCAATGGGAAATGCCGGTAAACTGCAGGACCCCCTTTTCAGGCTTTCTTTCTTTTTTCACTGTAAGACGTGACTGTATAGTTTGACGGCAGAGCACGGATTTGGTGAAACTAAGCATTCTGTGCTGCAGGCAAGAAGTGGAAATCTTATGGGCTTGTTCTTTGTTAGAAGCACTAGTAATGAGAACTATAGCGAGCAACAATGGCAAGGAAAGGTATAGGGGATGTTATTAGCAGTATATGTAATGTAAATGTGGGGAAAGGAAAGTGGACGAATAGTTAACTCGCCGTGGGCAGGGACCAAACCTGTGACCTTCGAATAATTCTTCTGATGCTCTACCAACTGAGCTACTGCAATGGCTACCCCCCCCCCCTGCTCAAATTATGGGGTATACGTGTGCATTTAAACGTGGGAGCTTCAGTCAGCGCAGCCACTAGCCATGACGGCGAGTGTGAAATACGACCTTTCTGTCTGTTCGCGTTACGTAACACGTGATCCTATTACGAACTGCCACCGTAAAGTTATCGTCCACTATTCTTTCTTTACTTTCACAACACATGCATATACTGCTAATAATATCTTCTATACTTTACGTGACATTGTTATATGCTTGTAGTGTTTTTATTATTATTGTGCTGCGAACAGTATTTCATATTTGTATCTTGAACAATATTGCTACGGAAAAGAAGAGACGCCGTAACGACGAGGCTGGGGATTAGATATATTCCAAACCAGCGGTAATGGCGGGCCCGGTTCACCAGCGATCGAGCGGAGACAACCCTTCGTCTTCCTCGTCAGGCACACACGCGCGTCGCCCCCTAGAATATCAGTATACATGCATGTAGCATAACCCCCGGCGGCGGAAGCGCCGTCTCGGCGCATTTAGATGTCAACGTCACTAGGAGAGTTGTAGGGCTTCAAGCGCGCAACATGTACAATATCGGTAGCCTGTTGGGCACATGAAGGCAATGGGGTGGCAGGACCAATTTCATATGTTACAGGCGTAACCACACGGAGGACACGGTATGGGCCTGTGTAGCGAGTAAGCAGTTTTTCTGACAAGCCAACTTGACGGGTCTGAGACCAGAGCAGTACCAAAGAACCGCGTGGAAAGTGTACGTCGCGGTGTCGTTGGTCATACAAGCGCCGTTGCTTCTCTTGAGAGGTCAGAAGGCGAGTACGGGTGATTTCGCGTGCGTGAGCGGCCCGAGTGATAGCGTCCATGACATATTCACTGGTCGGTACTCCAGGAGACGGTATGACGGTGTCTAGAGGCAATGTTGGTTCTCGGCCAAACAGCAGAAAAAATGGAGAGTAACCGGCAGTGTCATGGCGCGAAGAATTGTAGGCAAATGTGACGTACGGCAACGCGAGATCCCAGTCGGTGTGGTTGGTAGAAACATACTTAGCGAGCATGTCTGTAAGAGTTCGATTTAGGCGCTCCGTGAGTCCATTGGTTTGCGGGTGGTATGACGTAGTCAGCTTGTGTCTCGTTTTACAGGACTGCAAGATGTCGGCTATGACCTTCGACAAAAAGGTGCGGCCACGATCTGTAAGCAGCTGCCGTGGGGCTCCGTGTTGCAAAATCACGTCCTTGAGGAGGAAGTCGGCGACATCTGTGGCGCAGCTTGTTGGGAGAGCTCGTGTGATGGCATAACGCGTGGCGTACTCGGTGGCCACGGCTATCCACTTGTTACACGAGGAAAACAAGGGAAAAGGGCCAAGTAGGTCCAAGCCAACGCGGAGGAACGGTTCTGACGGAATATCGAGTGGTTGAAGGCGTCCGGCGGGAAGTGTCGATGGCGTTTTGTGGCGCTGACATTTCTCACAAGCCGCAACGTACCTTCTGACTGAGCGTGCAAGCCCTGGCCAGTAGAAGCGTCGGCGTATTCGGTCGTAAGTGCGTGACACACCAAGGTGACCAGCAGTCGGAAGGTCATGAAGTTCATGTAGAACTTCCGAGCGAAGGTGTTTCGGAATGACAAGCAGCAGAGCCGGTCCATCCGGCTCAAAACTTTGGCGGTATAATACACCATCGTGGAGCACGAACGAGCGATAGGACTGACTGGTAGATGGTGATTCGAGGCTCTCAATGATAGCACGCAAGGACGCATCATAGCGCTGCTCGTCACCGATGCATGTCACTTGCGAAAGGGAAAAGACGCAAGGCTCGGTGTCGGTGTCATGCATAGTGCTCGACTCAGCGACCGGGTAGCGCGACAGGCAGTCTGCGTCCTGATGTAGGCGTCCGGACTTGTACGTCACCGTAAATGTGTACTCTTGGAGTCGCAGAGCCCAGCGCCCGAGCCGGCCAGTAGGATCCTTCAGTGACGTAAGCCAACATAGCGCATGATGGTCAGTTATCACAGTGAAATTAGTGCCATATAAATATGGGTGGAACTTTGAGACTGCCCAAACAAGAGCAAGACATTCACGCTCCGTAATAGAATAGTTGCGCTCAGCAGCTGTGAGGAGGCGGCTAGCGTAGGCGACAACTCGGTCGTGTCCCCGTTGGCGCTGGGCTAACACGGCTCCGATTCCGTGACCACTAGCATCGGCTCGAACTTCCGTCGGAGCGAATGGGTCAAAGTGAACCAATATGGGTGGAGTCGTCAGTAGCGTGATTAGATGAGAAAAAGCAGCAGCTTGGTCGGTACCCCACGTAAATGTGACGTCTTTCTTTAGAAGGTCTGTGATGGGTCGAGCGATGGTTGCGAAATCTTTCACAAACCTTCTAAAATAGGAGCAAAGTCCTACAAAACTCCGGACGTCTTTGGCTGACTGGGGTACAGGAAAACTGGTGACTGCACAAATTTTCTCGGGGTCCGGCTGCACACCAGAGGCGTCGACAAGGTGGCCCAACACTGTAATTTGCCGGCGTCCGAAGCGGCACTTCGACGAGTTCAATTGGAGGCCTGCAGTGCGGAATATGTCGAGAATAGCTGACAAACGCTGAAGGTGGGTCTCAAATGTTGGGGAATATACAACGACATTGTCAAGATAACAAAGACATGTTGACCATTTGAACCCTTGTAGCAGAGAGTCCATCATGCGCTCAAACGTGGCTGGGGCGTTGCATAGCCCAAATGGCATAACCTTGAACTGATATAGGCCGTCTGGAGTTACAAATGCACTTTGCTCTTGGTCTTTTTCGTTGACAGCAATCTGCCAGTATCCGGAACGTAGGTCTATTGTGGAAAAGTGTCGGGCGCCGTGGAGACAATCGAGAGCGTCATTGATGCGGGGTAAAGGGTAAACGTCCTTTTTCGTGATTCTATTCAGATGACGGTAATCCACGCAGAAGCGCCAGGTGCCATCTTTCTTTTTAACGATCACAACGGGGGATGCCCATGGGCTCGAAGAGGGTTCAATAATTCCTTTGGCTAACATCTTGGTGACTACTTGTTGAATTATTTTACGCTCGGTGGCAGACACCCGGTATGGTCGCCGATGAATGGGATGAGAATCACCTGTGTTAATGCGGTGCTTGACGAGTGAAGTCTGGCCGAGTGGACGGTGGTCGACGTCGAATATGTCGCGGTATGAAGCCAGGAGGCGGCATAGCGCGGTTGACTTCTCAGGTTTGAGGTCCGGGGCGATCATGGAGCGTAAGGTCGAATCGAGGCACGTGACATCCTGCGAGTGATGTGGGTGCTCGGGACATACGTCTGCCGTAAAACAGGTGACGTGGTCGTCAATTAAGGGCCTTAGTGTGGCGACCGAAATTCCTTGGGGTAGCACTTGTTTTATGAAACCGAAATTGATAACAGGTAAATATGTTCGGTTAGAGATTATGCTTACGACAGAGTGTGGGACAGTAATGTCACGCGCCAGGAGAACATCAGTAATCGGCGTCACGATATAATCACCGTCAAGCACGGGAGAGGGTGTTGCCAATTCGATGAATGTGAGAGCTTTAGGTGGTATCCGGAAGAAGTCAGTGGTGCACAAGCTGTTCGGGGGTTCAGGGTCAGAATCCGGGAGAAGAGGAAGTTCTAGGCAGAGAGTACCGGCGGCACAATCGATGAGGGCAGAATGCGTCGATAGGAAGTCCATGCCGAAGATTAGGTCGTGGGGGCAATTTTCAAGGACCGTAAATAAAACAGGAACATGGCGGCCGGCAATACTAACACGAGCGGTACACATTCCAGTGATGGCCACAGTTCCACCATCAGCGACACGGAGGGCTTTAGTTGCTGCAGGCGTGAGGACTTTTTTGAGCAGGCGACACAGATGAGCACTCATTATAGACACTTGAGCTCCGGTATCGACTAACGCCGTCAAGGAAATACCGTCCACATACACCTCAATCAAGTTCGTATCAGTGGGGAGCGTCAATGGAGGATTTGGATCATTCGCAAGCGATGCAGCACTACCTCCCGGAGCTGCATGATCTAGTTTTCCGTCCGAGAGGATCCACAGTTGACCGGCGACGGATAGCGGCGTGGTTGGGGCGATGGGGAACGGCGACGTTGAGGTGGCGGCGAACGAGCAGTGGAGCGGCTGTTGGGGATGTCGGAAGAAAGGTACACACGACTGGGCGAATACCGACGGGAGTCCTCGTATGGTCGATTAGAGGAAAATTGACTCCAATTTGAGGGCGTCCAAGTGCTGCGGCAGTAGCGGGAGATATGGCCGACTCGGTGGCAGCGGAAGCAGATCGGCTTGTCGTCTGCAGTTCTCCATTCCGCCGGATTGCGGGATCGCGGAATAAAATGTAAGTCATGGCGTGGTGCATTTGTTGTCATTGGTCTGGAGACGGGTCGGGACACAGAGCAGGCCACAGGAAAACCAAGCTTTGCAATTTCCTGCCTCACGACGGCTTGAATAACGGAGACCGGCGGAGGCGTTGCTGCGGCGCCATGATCGAGCGGATGTGGAGGAAATGATGCCGGACTTGACGCCTCAAGCTCCCGTCGAACTATTCGTGTCACGCTGTCCTGCATGGGTGGTGCGGCACCAAGATCGGTGCAAGTGGATGTAACAGCCGTGTTTGGTAGCCGCGTAAATTGAGGCAGCACCCGGCGGCTTTTGGCCATTTCGAAGCGACGGCATTCCTTGATAGTCGTATCTACGGTCGTGACGTTATTGTAGACGAGCAAATTGAAGGCGTCGTCCGCGATGCCCTTAAGTATGTGGCCCACCTTGTCACTCTCTGTCATTTGCTCGTCGACTTTTCGGCACAACGCGAGCACATCCTGTATGTACGAGACATACGACTCTGTTGACGACTGCACACGAGTGGCGAGTTCTTTTCGCGCTTCCATTTGGCGACCGGACGGGTCCCCAAAGATGTCGCGTAGTCGCTCCTTGAAGGTATCCCAGCTGGTGAGCTCGGTCTCATGGGCGTCAAACCAGACCCGTGGGGTGCCGTCCAAGTAAAATATTACGTTGGCGAGCATCATGGTAGGGTCCCATCGGTGTGTGTGGCTAACACGCTCGTACATACGGAGCCAGTAGTCGACGTCGAGCCCAGGTTGTGCGGAGAATGTACCTGGATCACGGGGGGTGGGCATCGTCAGCTATGTAGTGGCTGGAGCTACAGATGGAGACGCTGAGAGGCTGTTGTCATTGGTAGCCATGGCCGGAGACTGAATGGTGCAGCCACTGCGAAGCTTCGTGGTGAAGACGGAGAACGTTCCACCTCCACCAAATATGTTACGGAAAAGAAGAGACGCCGTAACGACGAGGCTGGGGATTAGATATATTCCAAACCAGCGGTAATGGCGGGCCCGGTTCACCAGCGATCGAGCGGAGACAACCCTTCGTCTTCCTCGTCAGGCACACACGCGCGTCGCCCCCTAGAATATCAGTATACATGCATGTAGCAATATCATATACCCCCCTCCAATGCCCTTCTTTTAATGGCGAATGAATTTTGCGTACTTATTTAACCTGGCGGAACGGCAATGTCCTCACGAAAAAAAAAGGCAACAGCAAGCTTTACTGACATTCGTAGAGACAACTATCAGAGCCCTGCTGAACTTCTGAAAAGCGCATAATTAAAACCTTCGCCTCTCTTTAACTCACCGCTTAAAAAGAAAAAAAATCACTACTCTGATGATTTCGTGCTTGTTGTCTAATACGTCTGGCCATCTCACTGGAAAGCATGAGCAAAGGCAATTTATATGTTTCTTTTTTTTTGCCAACTCGCAGGATCGCATCCGCACAGTGCATGAGGCGGTGGTGAGCGGCAACATAGCTCAGGTTCGCCAGGTGCTGACACGCAAGCGCTTCGCACTCAGCCGTGACCACCTGGGTGCTAGTCCGCTACACCTGGCCGTCCTGCATGGACACACGGACGTGCTCAACTACATCGTCGAGCGTTTCCCTGAGACGCTAGATGGGCCAGACAACGTAAGTGCGCTCCCACCTCCCTACGAGACAACCATTCTACCTTCGGTAGTTGCAGGAATACATACTTTTTTACACTGTAGCAACAGGGACCTACGTTCACTCTTTGCCTTTGTACCTTGTACGTCGCGTTCAGAAGAGAATAATAATACTACCTAGGGTTATGTGTCCCAACACTATGACATGGCTATGAGAGAGGCTGTAGTGGAGTGTTCCAGAAATTTCGACCATCCGATGTTCGACGTATACTGGCATCGCACAGTAAACGGCCATCTAGCGTTTTGCCCTCGTCGAAATGCGAATGCCGCCTATGTGGGATCGAACCCGTAACCTTCGGATCCGCAGCCGAGCGCCATAACCACTACACCACCACGGTAGACTGTAAAGTCAGGTTGTTGGCAGGTTGTTGCTGTATTTTGTTGAATCAACGAAATAGAAGATACAATTTGGTCGTTTGATTGATATGTGGGGTTTAACGTCTTGCAACAACCATATGTTTATGAGAGACGCTTTAGTGAAAGGCTCCAAAAATTTTGACCACCTGGGGTTTTTTAATGGGCACCCAAACGTGAGCACATGGGCCTACAGCATTTTCGCCTCCATTGAAAATGCAGCCGCCGCAGCCGGAATTCGATTCCGCTCGACCGGCGGGTCAGCAGCCGAGTAACTCAGCCACTAGACCACCGCGCCGGAGCCAGATACAATTTGTCGCTAATGGGAGTGAACCATAAACTCCGCATGATGTGTATACGTGTGGATTGAGATTTGGTTTCCACAGCGGACAAAATCTACTTTCTTCGTCCCAATTTTATTCTTTATTAGACATATAAAAATTTGTGGAAATTTCACTCTGATTGGTTCAGTTATATATTTAAATGCTCAGAAACTGTTATTTTAATGATTTCCTTTTCTTTATCGTGTGATCGACTCTATAGAAAATTTGAGTTAAGAAAACTACTATAATGAAATGAATGTTGTCATCAATAATTATGAAATTGGCTATGCCTTGTCTAACGCAGGAAGGACGAACGCCACTGCATTACGCGGCGGTCGTTCTGGAGGCCCAAAACTACTTCGACATTCTGAAAAAAGCTGGTGCCGACGAGGCTATTAAGGACAAGGTAAGAAACTTAGATCATACTTAGATCATACGAGTTACTCTGCTGGAGAGATGAACTGGAAGACATGAATAAGGCTGCAGAACATTACCTGCATGCATACGCTGCACAATATAATTTACAAGCGCGTATGTTCTCCTTCTTAAATCATCTATTTTATTCCTCGTCCCTATTTGTCACGTCATGTGGCTCATTCTGAAGACGATGGCGGAGTGTGGTGGCACTCGATGATAAACACAGAGTTGAAATGTCGTATGCATCATGTCAACATACAACCTTAAATTGCCGTACAATAATCACTATCTTCTGCTCTGGAATAAAGGTTTTGAGTATAAAACCCTTGTGTGCATCCCCTGCCCGCCTGCGCCTCCTTTGTAACACGACAGCATTAAGAAATTCGTTTTGCAGAAATTTCGGCATCGGCGTGGGCGTCATTGATTGTGAGCGAGAAATCATCTTGTCCGTGACCAAAATATCAAGAAAGATGCAAATAAAATAAATAAATAATATCGACAGGTCCCGCGTACCTGGAAATCGACGTTATGCAAAACATGCGGAGGGCAGGTGACCATGTTGCAATTTTTTTCTGAGCGACAGGCAACGAAATGGCGCTAAATATAAAATGTTTCACGCACAAACATATGTTGAAAAGTTGCAGATGTTTATATACCCAGTTGTTCGCACTTGCGCAACGACGTTGACTGGAACATGCGTATTAGCAACACCAGAAGCTGATATCAAGCGCTGATGCTCGAGAGGATGCTGGTCCTGGACACTGCTACGAAAATCAACTTCAGCGCATGGCAACTAACCACAATTGACGTTCCCCGACGTGACGGCTGTATCAAAGGAGTACATATGTAGTGTTTATAAAATTGGGTAGGCAGCACTGCAACCACTATTGATGTTTCACGAAGATTAGCGTCTATTTGAAAAGTAGTCCCGAGATATGGCGTAGCTCTGTGGTAGAATGCTTTACTGTCATGCGGAATTCCTGGGTTCGATTCCTGCTGAGACCTGGGAATTGATTATTTGCATTCGTTGGGGGGTCAACGCTGCCTATGTCAGGTACTTCTTAACGCACATTTATTCTAAGCCTTCGCTGAGTCGACGCTACCGATGTCGGGTATTGTTTAACGCTGACGTGTTAAAATTGCCCATGTTGTTCTCGTCGTTCCTGGGCAGATACGAAGTGTCACTCATCTATGGCACATACCAGTATACCAGCGGCACATACCCGCGCGTGGGTATGTGCCGCTGTCTGACGAGAAGTGTTTGATGACTTACGCGACGGGATTGCGACATTATTCATGTCTTGGCCAGCGCTTCATATTCGTCAAGCCATCTTACCCTCCCATGCTAATTTTGGTTTACGCCAGGTTAAGGCGTTGGCCACGAGAGCAGCCAAACATGAGCGTCTAGATAGATAGATAGATAGATAGATAGATAGATAGATAGATAGATAGATAGATAGATAGATAGATAGATAGATAGATAGATAGATAGATAGATAGATAGATAGATAGATAGATAGATAGATAGATAGATAGATAGATAGATAGATAGATAGATAGATAGATAGACGGACGGACGGACGGACTGATGGATGGATAGATAGATAGATAGACGGATGGATGGATACAAGTGTAGATTGCCGTCGGGCGTCAGAACAAGTGATTATCATAACGACGTCGTAGTTTTAAAGTCGGTGACCCATTACAAAAGGCACACACGTTACTGCACGTAATCCCTTCCCGTGTTGCAAAAAATGGGATGAAACTCTCTGTATTAACTTTTTTTTTTTACGAGGAGTGAGGAACAGATGACGACGATGATCATACTGCTTAGCTTTCCTTTCGAAACAACGTCGCAAAAAATATCCACCTAGTGTTTACGTCTAAACCGTGCGTTCTTGCAATTGTTACATTCTAGCGCCACCTCTTTCGAGCGTTTCTAGCATCTGTTGCATCCTAGCGCCACCTCTATCCAGCGTTTCTAGCATTTGTAGCATCCTAGCGCCACCTCTTTCTATTTCCGTCATACAAGCTTCCGTTCTTATGATGTACTGTTACTCATGCCTAACGACTATTGTTTTATGATAGTCGGAAAGTGTAGCTAGTAGGCCATGATAATTCATTATAAGAATTTGTCGTAACGACTCCTGTTGTGTTAGTGCTGTCCCTTTCAGTTTTTGCGCCAATCTTCTAAACGTCTTTGGTTATGTCGACCGCTGGCTAGTTCATATTTCCATCAGCTTCGAAACCCCCCCAAAAAAATCTCGCCACCGATTTCTACTACCGTGCAACATTCGCAGATGGGGCATACTCCGGAGTACTACCTCAAGAATCCGAAAGAACTGAGCATCAGAGACCTGCTGGCAAACTACCATACCCCGAGCGAAGACGACAAGTCGGCCAAAGCGGACGTGTGGCAGAGGCCGTCCACGCCTCCCGCCGCCGAGGATGGACATGGTGAGTTCACGTCAGAGTTGCCAGATCGTACCGAGCTAACAAGCAGGTAATCGTCACTAAAGTGGCCCAAAAAAAGCGTAAATTTATTCAATATTTCTATTTTCAGATATATGTTTATATACAGCAAAATATGTCACGTAAACACGATGGGGAGTTGAAAGAAATCACTTTGTTTTGCATAGTGGTAATAAGCAACGCTATAAACGAAAAGACGTGTTCACTCGTTACTATTGTCCCCAGGGTAGTCTCGATTCGGTTCAGTCCACGTTTATCCATGCACGATTAAACCACCTGTTGATTGACCACAAGGTATGTTTGACAACAATGAACTAACCAAGGTCACCGACAAACGCACTGTTAGTAAACGGCAAAGCGCTATTGCCGAACGTGATGATCATTAAAATTACTGCATTAGTGGGAAAATGAAAATATGCCCCAAAAACGAGACGAGTGACTGGAAAAATTGTACGAGCGACTCGTTGAGAAAAGAAGCACGAATCCGCTTTTCATAATTAGAATTGATAACACTGATTCACTACATATGTAGGTGTTCACCTGTGGCACCAGGCGTTTAATTTAAACAGCAGCTGCAACACTTCTTCAACCTGCCCAAACAACACTTCTGATCGGTAGTCGAGGCTCTCCCGTGAAGACGAGAACCGAACATTATAGCGCAACACGCAACCTCTGATTTACAATTAACTCTTAGTCAGCTAAGAATCACTCCCTTTTCCCTCTACTGAAGATGTCGTATAGACTATTGTACTAAGAATCACCTCCCTTTCTCTCTACTAAAGATACTGTACATACAATTGTACGAAGGGGTTTCAGTGCCGCCTTGTTCGGCTGTTAACCTTTATGTTTTACATCTATAACAGCTAAACTAACAGCGTTACGCTATTGTTATATACACAAGAAAACGTTTCCATTGGTGCATACCATGTTTAGTGACCTTATTCATTTACATTTCAATATACAAAAACAAGAAAACGTCCACTTAACAGCCGAAGATGGCAACGCCCATAAATAAAACAGTCCATACTCGGATGCCCGCGCTATAGACCCGAATTCACAAGCATTGGCTGATTTGAGCATAGCGGGCCCCATAGTGACTACACGCACCACGGGAGGTCATCACGTGCTCGCGTGCTCGCTCGCGATCCTACGGAAGGCAAACAGAGTGTTCAAAGAAAAAAAATAATAAAAAGTGTTCAAGGTCATGGAGTGCGCATGTTGTAGCTTCCTTCCCCCGTGTAATCCTTCCCTGCTTAGCTTCCAGTGCTTTTATCAAGACGAGAAAAAAAAACAGAACAGAAAACCATCACAACGTTCAACAAATCTCTCAAACTCCGCTCGTACTTGACAGATTCTGAAAATCTTTTGCTGTTTTTGATTCGAAAAGCAATGAGCTCCTTTACGAATGGCTACTTAAAAAAGTGTTGCAGAGACCCTTTAGCTTGCATCAACAACGCTTTTAAAAAGAAAACCGTGCGTTTTTTTTTTATGGCTAGACACTCTAACCAATATGCTGCCGGAGCTGCTGAATACAACTGAATATGATGTGCTTCATGCATGGTAGCCCTTTCTGACGCCCGCGTTCAAAGATGTCTCTTCCAAAACGAGCGGCACTATGGTCAACTATCTTTCGTACCCGCTACGCGTGCTAAGGGGCTGAAAATTATTGTTTCTGACCTTTTCATAGCTCATTATTCAATTTTCAGTAAAGGGGGAAAGAGGATATACGCAGTGCTTTCCTTCTATTTCTTCTCCCCTCCGGGCTCTTCTTTTCCAGGTATACAGTTGTGCAAGCACAATCGATCAATTTGCTGGCAGTTAGCGTTCGTCTGCGTTCACAGCACAATTGTTTCTAAAGGGCAAACAAGAGTTTGTAATGACTTACGTTCAAGCACTCGGCGGGTATGTTTAAGGCATGCCTTTTGTAGCTCCTGGTGTGCCCCCCACCCCCATACTTGCCTTGATGCGCTTATATGTCGATAACTTTAACAACCAATAAAATTCTTACTCGCAGAAGCATCTACTGCCCTTCCAGAAGAGCCTACGGCGCCTGTTGCTCCCGCGGTGAATGGAGGAGCCACACAGCATACGGTTGTGCCCAACGGGAAAGCGCAACAGCGAGAAGCCGCACCTGTGTTGGCAACGTCCGAGACATCAAAAACAACAAACTCGGTACCACCGGTAGTAGATGCATCTAGGGTTGCGCCCGCACCTCCCCCAGCACCACAGCGAATGAATTTCCCATCGGTGCCGTCCGACGGAGTACGACAGCCTGTCGAAGAACCTTTACAAACGGCGATACGGCTTCCATTGGGAGAACAAGCTACGAGTCGCGCACCGGCAGCAACAGGCCAGCCTGTGGCAATGCTTCCATCTGGCAAGGTTTGTGCGTCTACTCCATTAGACGTGCTAAGCGTTCAAGAAATGACTCTCTTTGGCCAGCTCTGGCCCTTGCGCCAAACTAGTCCACTAGTCAGTCAGACATGCTGTGCTTTGAACATGGCGCTTTTTGGTCAACTCCGGCCATTGCGCCAAATAAATCTGCTAGTAAGTCAGACATGCTAAGTGTAGGCATCTGGGCTAGTCGGTTTTGGCGAATATTATGGAGCATATCACTGGTGAAGACAGGGACAGGTGTATCTATTGCTATCCTGCCCATATCTTTATTCACCAGTACAACGTTTCGCAGTTTTCATCCGTTAGACATACTGAGTCCTGACGATGGTTGCCCAACTCATACTGTTTATTTTTTATTTTTACTAGGTGTTGACGTGGTGTTGGCGCTTTTATAACGCCGGATAATCTTTCTGAAACTCAGATTAGCGAAACCGAGAGAAATGTACACATTGCTGATCACTCTGTCATAGGAATCGGTATAACATGATAGTGAAATGTGTCTTCACATAAGTAGTACTAACAGGGTATTGATATTTGAGTGCTTGTACAATGTCTCAGTCGGTAGCGACCCGGGCGCTAATCCTTGTAGACTGAGATGATTTTACGTTCGATTCCTCGCGGCGGAACCTTTCCTGATTGTTTTTTTTTTCTTTATCATCCGTTAGCGTCCATTTTATGAACGCCATGTCCGTGAAGGAAATAAGTCATTGAAGCCTTGGTGCACCGTGGCATAAAACGCTTTCGTGTTAAAAAATTGGCCGCCATCCCGCCCGGTGAACGTGAATTTCCAGCAAAGCTTTTTTTTTTTCAAATACAACACTAATATGAGGGAGAAAGTTTTATTATTACTTCACAGTAATAATAGTGATAATCGCTTTGTCGTTGCGTTGCCACTATGGTAAGCCGTGATTGGTTCAGCGACTGTTTGCAAGAAGGTTAATTAGTGCCTTTCATTGAAAATATACTCGTGTTTACGGGAATAGATAGCTCGGCTAGTTTGTGAGAATTCATGTCAAATCAGATAGCGAAAAAGTACGCTCGTGTCTTTAATTTTGGTAGTCTACTCATAGCAATCTTAGAATAAACCGAATGAGTTGCTAGACGACTTTTTCTTTTTTATGTGAAAGCGGGAAACATGCGCGAAGAGTAGAAAGGACGGTTTGAAGTCGTTCGAAGCCCTCGTGTGAAGTGCAAAGCAGCTGTAACCTATTATTTGCCGGCAGTGCGTGTGAAGGTGTTGCCATTGTTCACAGGCGCATTGTCATGTTTGTTTTCTGGTGTTTTAATTAGTATTATTGAAACGAATACCGAGCCATGTGCTGTATGCTGATTGCGAAGAGCGATATGTCGTTTGACTTTGAAGATGCCGCCCGGGTCCATGGCCTTCGAGCGGTCACCTGAGTCACCGCCATCATAATTGACAGGGAGTGGGAAGAGACAGGTGTTAATCCCCTCTTCCCCCTCCTCGCCCGGTGAAAACTGCCGGACTTTAAATAAAGTTCATTCATTCATTAATTGATTTATTTATTGATTGATTCATTCATTCATTCATTCAAAGTACATCTAAACCATACAGAGGTGAAAATTTATTAGTGGCGTTGCAGTTGTGAACGAGTCGAAAGTGAACGTGTTTGTCAGCTAGTCTATCCACCTTTCCTAAGGCCATTTCTCAGCGTCCGAGGTGAAAATGCAACGAGCACGTGCATCTGCTATAGCTGAGGAGGACGCAAGCGCGGGCGTGTATTGGTACGTCAAGAGCCTGGTGTTTTGTGTTTTCTGTCTACGGGGATGAAATCTTTGTGGTGCAGAGATATACAGCTTCGCTGCAGAAAAAATATATATATAATAGCGCCTAGAGATCATTGCTGTCAGTCAGTCAAGCTTACTATTTGATTTTGGTTTTTTTTTCTGGCAGTATGGACAGAATGGCGGCACCGACATGGTTCAGTTGGCCCAGTCGTTGCTGTTGACGGGGAGGACACCCGAAGAGGCCCAGTACCTGCGTTCCAGCGTCGGTGATGCTCTCGTCGGGGCTCTCGCAGCCGTCGACAAGCAGAGGCCTCCTGACCCCGTGACCTTCGTCGCCTCTTGGCTCAAGCAGAGCCAAACGGCCCAAAAACCGTCGAGCGCCAGGGCATCGAACACCACTATGCCAGTGAGCACGATGCAACGTACAGCTCCTGTCACACTTAAAATGTGAAGTTTTATGCGCAATTATGCGACTATACTAACAAATGTTTCAATAGTTGTGTCTACCGGTACTTGACTTGGGAGCACAAACCTGAAGGCTTACAAAGAGGGTTCGGCTTAAATTGAGGACAACACAGCGTACGATGGAGAGGGAAATAGTAGGTGTAACATCAAGAAACAAAAATAGAGCAGAATGGGTCAGGGAACTAACCAGGGTTAAAGATATAATAGTTAAAATGAAGAAGGAATGGACATGGGCCAGGCACGTAGCCCATAGGCAGAATAACCACTGCTTATTAACGGTAACTGACTGCATTCTCAGAGAAGGCAAACGCACGAGGGGCAGACAGAAAGCTAGGTGGGCCAATTAGATTTAAAAGTTCGCAGGTATAGTGGGGCAGCAGAAAGCACAAGACCGGGATGATTGGTGGATCATGGGATAGGCCTTTGATGATGATTATGATGATGATGATGATGATGATGATGAATTGTGTCAATCAAAACAGAAAGGTTAAGCCCCTCGAATAATTTTTTCCGTACTTGGATATCAGTATGTGGCACGCAGTAGAGTGGGACTCCAGATTCATTTTGATGCTGGAGTTGTTTAACGGTATACGGACCTTTTTGCCCTCAGTCTTCAATAAAATGCTGCCTTCGTGGTTGGGTATGGAAGCCGTGCTGGCTTGCTTGGCGACTCCACACCATAGCCGGTGACCCTTAGTAACACAGCAGCGACTTAACTGACATTTTTTGTTATACTTGAGCCGAACAACGATCACCTATTTCTTTCATTTCACTTCATTCACTTTCAGCGCCCGTATGAATTAAAGCGAAGAGTGGCATTTAGCGAAACACACGCATGAGCTGATGGTTACGAGATGATTCTTTGAGGGTTGTCCCGTAAATCACTCCAGCACAGCCACATAAGCGCGTCATTATCGTGCCTTTGAGATTAGTTTACTGAGATTTAAGAGCGGATGCGCGGATATTAATCCTTGCTCGCCTCTGCATTTTCAATCTCATGCAGGCGGCGAACTCAAAAAGCCGAGACAGCGAAGTTGTGTCCAGAACGAACACACTTTCTTCTTCAACGACAAGGTAAAAACGCAAGCAGACGGAGGGATCACCGGCTCAAGTTCTCGGATACCGAAATGACGCAGTGTTCGCTATTCTGTTGCTTTATTTTCATTCGTAACACGGCTGTGTTCTTTAAGTGGTCAGCACTGCTGTTAGACGCTGCAATTAATGGATGTTCCTAGAGTAGTTTCTATATGGACAGAGGGTGCGCTATAATTTACTTCTCGATGGGGAGCATCGATTGTGCTAACTAGAGTTTTCTCGTTCACTCTCTGCGCAACTTCTTCATTGCAATGTGGTGCTAAGGCAGACTGTATGAACATAGTTGAGCGTAGCTCGCGGTCTGTTTCATTCGCACCCCATGCGCTTTGGTGCTGCAGTTAACCACGTTGATATTGCATTTTCGGTAAGCGCGCCTGTCAGAGACGCAAGCAACACGCAATCAGGGTCGTTGAATTGTGAAACTGTTCTAACATTTCATATTATAAGATAGTGAAATACCTATTCGCTCTTCTTGTCGGTGACGCTTTGTAATAACGACACTAAGGAGACACGGGTGTCGGCAGAATTTTGTCCTGAGAGTTGCAGAGCCGTCCATCGTCGCTATGGGGGAAAGGGGAGCACCGCCATGGCTTTGGTGGAGGGCTAGTGTTGGCTTGGTGGGGAAGGCAAGAGCTTTTTTAGCATCCCCACCCCCACCCCTGCAGGCGCCCATGCTAGGAGAACGTTTCTTTTCTAAAAGATGTCCACAAACTGCTTGTGCACGATTAGGTCGAAGAAGAAAAAAACATTTACCATTATGCTTTGTTGCTTTTAGACCATACTTTCGCGCTCAATAAGGTCTTCGCCGCGCTGGCGTTGCCTGTCTTTTACCTGACGCCACAGAATTGCGAAACCTCGCCACACTTATATGCACGCTTTGAGCAGTGGTTTACAATGCTAAATAGAAGTGAAATAATTTTTTGCGAATAAAGAGAGAGAGGTCAGTTACAAGAGTAATAAAATATGTCCACTCACCGACCACTGCCGCACCCACCCCTCTAGTTTTATAGGATTTGGCATTACTCGACGAGTAATCCATGTAATGGAAACATTGTTTTTGCACGCTCCGCTATATTTTCAAGGTTTTACCTGCATATCTGTGGTACAACGTGGGAGCCGCAAGTTGGTTCCCGCATTGTACCACAGCCAGGTGCAATCGTCGCTGCGCATTATATTAAAATCGTTGCTGTTAAACGCAGTGCTAATCACTTCAGCATTGTTCACTGGTGTTACATTTCTGAAAAAAAAGTGCCACTTTTAACACTTAGCACTCTCGTACTCAGCTAATTTTCGTGCGAGTCATTTGCTGTGGGCCATGTGATTCATAAGAGTCTTCTCCTTGGCTCCAAATTTGTGATCAGTCTTTGCTTACGGCATGCACGAGCGTAACACCCTGGTGTTAAGCCAAAGCAAGCGACTGACGCTAAAATGATGCATTTAACGAGCTCGCTGTTTTAGGACATCAGTGCAGTGTTAAAAATGTAGACGGCCTGTTTGTAAGCATGTTTTTTATGGTGGTTGTGGTTGATGTGTGTACAGTGTGGCGCGTAGGAATCGAAGTACATGGTATTTTTTCACACGAGCTTTGTCTTAGCTTCTGGATGTGCGAGCGCGCGTCATCATTCTCACAAGGCACTGTAGAGTTGTGGTGGTTTCGTCCTTAGGCTTAACTCAGGGGTAGTGCTTTATTTTTTAGTAACATTTGACGAAGTGATAGGCGATGTCTAGAACGTTTGATGTACACTTTGTATTTAGGTGCGATATATTGCGGCAGGGCACTCTTAATATACCAGAAGTTTCAAAGCCTGCGCGGCTGTACGAAGCGATGGCAATTTCAGTAAAAAAATATATAAATAGAGGTTAATATAAGAAATGACACAATGAAGAGCCAACATTGTTTCTTAAACAATAATCGGTGTTCAGGATGCTTAATTTAATGAGTTATAAAGAACTTTTGGGCCATTAAAAATGACACACTTTTCATCTTTTCAACGTCTTTTCATCGTTTGCCTCAGTTTCGCCTGAAATATAATCTTGAGTTGAGTAGCACTCTCTTTTTTCAGTGCCTGCCATTTGATTATGTGCAATGTGCATGCAAGGCGATAATGTATATTTGGTTTGTGAGTGCATTAGCTTACCAGCCGGCTTAATTGTGTAAGCATTTTCTCTACAACATTGTGTGAATAAACAAACAGTTGTAGACTGGTGGAGTTGTCTCTTTCTGTCTGTTTCTTTCTGTCTCTCCCAAACTCTGAATAATCATTGGGGGTCTCGGAAACTCAAGCTTTCACGTAACTGCATAGAGTGAGATTATTTTGTTATGTTCGTATGATGTTATTTTATGCATTATGTTCATGCTTTTTCATTTATTTCCTGCTTTAGCAATTCAAAAGAGAAACTCCACAGCTACACGTCATTTCCGTTGCTTTGTTAGATAGCAGCTTTCCGTTCGTTCATATGGCGGTATTTCATTGCGTTAAGCAAATAAGTTTTTAATTTTTTTTGCGCGTTTTGTTTGTTTTCCTTTAAATACTGCATTTTGTTTTATATGTTACATCTTTTTGCTTTTGCTCATTTTATTCACATATGTTCTATGAGTGCATGTTTCCCTTTTTTTATTAGACGGAAACTCTACAAAACATAACACACACTGCAAAGTATGTTATCTTATTTAATTTTTGGGCATCCTTGAGCTAAAGCACTGATATCTGTTTGGTGGTAGAAATACACATATAAAGACGGAATAATGGTCGATTAACATTAATGTAAAAACAGTTGCATTGCAATTCACACACGCAAACAAAAAAAGAAAAGATGGTTATCCACGTGGTTGCTTGTTCACAGGAATACAGGGAGGAGGGATTACAGAAAATAAAAATAAAAGGAGGATGAAGTTCACGCGCACAACACAGTGGACTTATGGTGTACATGAAAGTTTTCGCAGTTTCATTTAGAGTTGTGCTGTTTTCATTTAAAATTGTGCTGAACCAACAAAATGTTTCCTAGTTGTAACGTTGTCACCGTAGTATTTAGGTATTAGTTTTCTTAACTATCCGGTGCGGAAATGTGTACCAAGAGTCTTTATCGTACTTAAACTGCGAAAGTATATCGATAATACGCTGGTTAGGGTAATTAGAGATGCGCAAGCAGGGCAGCTATCCGCCAAGCCTTCCATGGATTCGAGCCCAGCGCAAACGTTTCTGGTTTCTAGCGACGACAGCCTGAAGAGGGCAGGCTTCACAAACCCGTTCTCCGAGGAAGCTGCCATTGAGGAAGCGCAGCACTACATGGACGACTACACAAGGCTCAAGGTGAGACGAAAAACCACACGCGAAGCGTTTGCATTCTCACGCCACATGTCCACTAGTCATCATGGCATGTCAGTCATTCAGCAAATATATTCTGCTTGCTTGGGGATGAGATGGCGTAGCTTGGGCATGAGAAGGCCTCTCTTGTATTCGGGAATATGGTTACTATTGGCCAAGCCCGATGTGTGAGCCTAGGTAAAGCGCTTAGCCGGAGGACGCGGGCTTGGTTTCGTCCCATTTATGCACAGCCAAAATAAAAAACAGGAAAGCGTCACTGTACTTAGACTTCGGTGCTTTTTCAACAGTTCCTGATGGTAAAACAATGTCCTGGTCTTGCCCACCATGGCATATTTTATAGTCGTACTTGATGTCACTGGTCCTGCCTAAAAAAAATGTATTACGAACCGGTGAGTAGATCGTGCATTTAAAATCGCAGAAAGGAGAAGTCTGCTTATGCGAGGTGAACTTAAGACTCTTTTAGGCTAGGTGCTTGAAGCTACTGCAATGTAATGAGATACCAGGCAGTTCTGGTGTAGCAGATATAACTGTTTTAGAAGGCGCACGCAAAAAAAAACAATTAAGAGAAATCACGTAGGGCCATTTGGGCAACGGGACACCTGAGACAACATTCCAGTCAGCGACTAACTGAAGTGGCAGGACCATCCCAAATAGTTATTTTGGTCAAAAAGTGCATATTTAATTTAGCTCACTCAATTACTGATTTTCCAGGTCCTCTAACAGAGTGACAATGCTGTCGTACCAGACAGCTATGTAGCAGTACTGTATTAACGCTGGTGCTTCTTTTGAGGCAACATGGCGAGGCAAGTTTGTGAAAAAGGTGTGTTTACCTTTTCCAATCCGCTTAGAACCGAAAATGGGGTGGAGTAAGGGCATCGACCCTCCCTGCGCCGGATAGTTCAGCAGCCCAAACAGTTTATTCAAGAAATGTTGCCGTATGGCCGAACAAATTTTATGCCTGCCAGATTCTGTCATGTAAAGTATACCTGTAAAGCGTGCATCACTGCATAAAAGCCTATAGTGCGGCAGAGCTGGCTGCTGAAATAAACTATGCGTAAGTTTGTTTGCAAATCCTGACCCTGCAGTGATCACTTCATTTGCAGTGTTTCTCTCGATGAGTAGCTAGTTGAGTGACACACTCACCCCTCGCCCCAAGAAAATGGGAAGGCCAGGCTGCTGGTCTTAGGCTTCCCTTTTCTGGGACTTTCTCTTTCGTCTATTGGCTTACACACGTTAGCTTCACGCCCCGGCAATGCCTTCTGTGATGACTGTGGTCGCGAGGACACCATGTGACACATTCCGAGTGCCCCTCCTTGCTGTTATGTGCAAGGAAGATCGCTTCCATTTGCACAAACTCACTTCAACCAAATACCAATAGGAGAGGGAATGTGCATGTCGACGTTGATCGCGACTGATGGCGATGGAGGCGCTATCATAGGTTTTGAGGAACACGTGTGCACGCTTGGTTTTAACTTGAATAGGTGCTAGTCGTTACGTAATGTCGTGGTGTGCATGCTCTCTTGATTCGCTTTTCCTTTCACGTCTTATCTGCATGGTTGCGAATTTCACAGCGCGAGAACGCGGAAAAAATGAGCTAGGGCAGTGCAGCGCTTTTTTCTACTCTGTCCCAATTTTTCCTATGTTCTCGAACTGTGAAGCTCACAATCATCGTTTCAAGCCAACTAGCTTAAGCTTTTACTTTTACCTTCAACTTCGTATCGCCGTTTCCATGTTCAGAGGTAGCATGCTCGTCTATTATTTCTGTCTAACATGTTCCCTCTTTGCCATTTCTTTCTGCTAGTGTTAGCATTCCGTAACACTTCTCATGTGGAACCTCTCTACCTTGTTGTAGGATGAAGATGGTCAGACGGTGCTGCATTTCGCCGCCTCGCACGCTCACAGCGAGGGTTGCTTCTACGCGCTGGTGCGCCAGGGACAGGCGCTACTGGCTGAAAGAGACTGCCGCTACCGAACAGCAAGGGACGTGGCGCGTGAAGCCCAGCAGAGTGACAACGTGCTCGCGCTCGACGCCTTCGTTCTGGACGCCTTCCTAGAGCGTCGAGCGGGGCTCCTGCGCGCACTGGCTCACCGGGGATACGAGCCGCTGCTGCACGCCACCGACCGTCACGGGCGACACCTGACGGCCGTGTTGGCCCAGTTCCAGATGACCGATATGCAGGCGCTCGTGCACGACATGGACGCGTTCTTCGTGAGTCTCGGACGCTGCGTTTTTCTCCTTATATGGACGCAATGCTGACTGACAGATTAGATGCCATGTGAAATGGCTTACCAACTGGTTTAGCAACTGCTGTAACTGTACCGAGTAGATCCAGTGGCGTTAGTTTCACACGAAGAACTGCAGCGTGACGTAGACGGGATTAGAAGACACATATAAGCACTAGGAGTGCATGTGTGTGTGTGTGTGTGTGTGTGTGTGTGTGTGTGTGTGTGTGTGTGTGTGTGTGTGTGTGTGTGTGTGTGTGTGTGTGTGTGTGTGTGTGTGTGTGTGTGTGTGTGTGTGTGTGTGTGTGTGTGTGTGTGTGTGTTTGTGTGTGTGTGTGTGTTAGTGCGTGCGTGCGTGCTGCGATAGTTCAAGTCTCTGCATTTCGCCGAGCATATACCACTTCGTCAAAGTCAAGGTACTTTTAGTTCTACATCTATCCTTGGTTGTCTTCTTGCTAGGCACGTGTAATTGTTGATCACCTATTAGAAACCTTTCGAGCGACACGTAATGCAACGAAAAACTCAATGAATCATAATTGCCTGTAAAGCGTGCATCACCACAAAAACACTCTTTAGGCAGCAAAGCGTACTTTCAAGACTGACTGCTTCGCGTGTTGTTTACTTCCGTTAAGTTCACCGGCCGTGCTCCCATCATTCAAACACGCAAATAATAAAATTTACAGCATACTTATTGACGTTTATATATGCATCTATTTAAACGCAGAAGAGTCTAGTGTTGGGCCTGTTGGTGCGCAGCTTCGAAAATCGACGAACCCAGTTTTCAAAGACACGCACACAAGAAGTTTTGACGCTGGTGTGTTGACGGCTAAATTTCCTTTTTTGTATACGTGTCTTTCGAAGCTTGGTTCGTCGATTTTTCTATCTCTAAATGTACTCTAACTTTCTCATCCGTAATGCTTCAAAATAATTTTACTAGATAAACAGCTCTCCTATCAATGAGCGTCGCTCACTGGCAGGGTCAGTAACAACACAATAAATAAAAGGATGCGGCGGTATCGTTGCTCTGATAAGGCGAGGAGGGAAGCAAAGAGCTCCCGAGAGTTTCGAAAGGTGAGTGAAAAAACTTTCGCAGCCACCTTCAGTGTGATGTTCTTGGTAAATCCTTCGCGGATGAATCTCGAAAGGTAATCACTGAAGTGATTCACTGAAGTACTGAAGTGAAGTACTGAAGTGATAGGACTAAGGGTGAACTCACTATTATTACTGGCAAAACAACTGACATTACTTGACTTTTGTTTCTGTAGTATTTGCCCAAGGGCGCTCGAGAATAGTGGAAATAAAATATTTCAGCTTTACGTTAAAATCGGTCAGCCACGTATTGATGTAATATGTCAGCGACTTCTTATTCTCTCTTTGTTAGACTGCATAGAAATAATGATTGAACTTACTTAATTGGACTAATTATGCTAATATTAATCATTTGTATATATCACTCACAAAAGGTCGTGTGTCATTTTACGAGTTTTTCAGGCTTCAATCCCCGAAAAGCAAACGAGTTTGTACATTATTTATTTTTCGACAAATTGGAAGACAATGAGAATCGCAAATGTATTGTATAAGTTTAATAAACCTCCTTTATTTGCTCTCTCTCTTTGTCTTACGCACACGCAGAAAGCTCGCGAGGAGCTCCATGCATTCGTACGAAACGGATACCTGGAAGGTGTGCAACAGCTGGTGAAGCGTGACGTCAGCCTGGTGACTGCCAAGGGCACCAGAGGACGCTGCGCTCTGCACGTTGCCGTGCTCGCCGAGAACCCAGACGTGGTGCGACACCTGGTCAAGGCGTGCCCAGATGCGCTTCACGTCGCCGATAACGTTAGTATCTACCGAAAGTAGTATATTATGTTGCCGATTTTCGCTCTACCACGTGCGAGCTTTTGTGCGTGTGATAGTGCAGCAGCAGAATACCAAAAAATATAAAATAAGGCAGCTTCGCGCTAGTGGTGTCATGCCTGAAGGAATTGCAGGGCTGCACAACCGGCCTTCATCCTTTTTATTATACTTTTTTGCTTTCTTCCTTTCCTTCTCCCTCCTTTTCTCGTTCAGTTCGTTTAGCGGCGAAGCTGTTCAGCACGGCATAAAATGGCTGTTTTCCGCCAGATACATGGTCGTGCCGTTTCCTAGCAACCACCGCCTGGCCTCGAGTTGCCTCGCCACCATGCTAGCTTGTGTGACCTCAGGCCAAATAGCAAATGCGCAGTACAAACGCCGCACTGTTGTGCGTTCAGATATATGGTGTTTGGCCTCCTCACGAGGTCAGGACAGGCCCAGATAAAGTGTTTGAGGTCCGCCCACTTATTGCTGAGTTTACATTTGTCGGAGTAGAGATCTGGATATCAAGGACTATAAGCAATCCGGTTTGGGTAGGTGCTTGTTTACAATAGGCGCCTTGCTGTCCCCTGCTGTTTACTTAGTGAGGAATGTGGTGGAGGGTAATGCTGCCTTCCTAAGTTCTCGATGATTTCCTTGTATGAGACCATGCGCTCTCTCTCCCCACGCGGGCTTCGCGTCAGTCCTGCACTTGCTCGGCTCACTATCTCTCGAGCTATGGTGTGTGTGGTTTCATTTCCCGGGAGGGGAGAGTCAGCGGGCGTCCGTATACATCGCGTTCTCTGCGAAAGTTAGCTAGGATATTTTTTTTTCTTGATCACTCGTTTATTGGCCAATACCCTAGCGTGTGTATGTGTGTCGCAGTTTCGAGGGACTGCCACTACGTTGTGCACTCTACCTCTGGCTGGGCATGTTCACTGTTGATTTCCCAGGACTTATAAACGTCCTCCCGACTGAGCAAAAAAGCGCATAACATAACTATAACTATAAGTATAGATTTAGACAGCATTCCTATAGGATAAATGAGAATGAGAAATGTTTAACTTCGTTCCTACCAACTACGCTTACTGAGTGTGCACTCGTATTTAAAGTTCCGTTTTTCTTTCACCCCAACACGCGATGCATTAGGCCGCGTTCACACTGAGCATTCCGGCCGCCGAAAGTGCTCCGAATCCGGTTCGGTGGCGGCGAGATCCGCCGAAAGGGCCCTTTCCGCGCCGATCGCTCTCGGACAGATTTTTGCGGCGTCTGCCGCCGAATCGGTCACCGCAGACCAATAGGAGCGCTAGTCAAGGAATTTTGAAAAATGGCGGCCAAGCCCTACTCACACGTTATGCCGCAGTGCACGTAACTGAATGTTGAAACCAACGGGAGTTTAACCTATTCTGTGCCTACTTCACCTCTGTATTTCTTGAAAGAGGTGACCGAGCTTGCTGTTGGCGTGACCGAGCTTGTTGCGGTCTTGCAGAGCAAAACGAACCCACCAACGCCACTGGCGTCGGTGGTTTTTCTGCTCTTCGCATAGCGAAATAAAAAAAAGGTTTATTCTTTATCTATGCTCTTCGTGCATTACAAGACAGCCACTTGCCAGCAAAGTAAGCAGTATTGTCTTTACTTGCTTCTTGCGTACGAGAATCGTCGAAGTATACGCCAACGGATAGCGTAGTGGCGTTTGCGAGCCGCGACAACAACCGAGTGACAGCGCATCCATCCCGCGTTCGCCCCGTAGTAGGTGGCATATTCGGCAGTGCGGGCGCGTCCAGTGCGAACGACGCTGCGTTTCGGCGGCAGGGGAATTTCGGTCGCTATAGAAAGCGGATGTTTCAGTGTGAACTAGGCATAATGCTATGTGCTCCCGAAACAAAACATACGCGCAGGGAGCCTTCTTGTCGTGTCACATCGTTTCACGTGCCGCTCATTGTATTTAGTATCTCCTAGATGCCTGAGCCTCCGAGCTAGTCAGAATTTCCGATACAGAGGGCGTCATTACGAAATGACGTCTGTAACGAAACGGAACTTCTACCCTTCAGATGGGAAGGACACCTCTGCATTACGCCATGGCAATGCCCCACGTGACCACCCTCGGCCAGATCTTGGTGCAGGGAGGGGCCTCGCGCACTACCAGGGATGTCGTAAGTAGTTTTCAGTTTGTAACTCGAAGATTTTCAGAGCCCCTAAGTGACACCGCGTTCAAAGAGGAGACGGTAGCATCTCACTCGCCTTTACTATCCTTACTTTACGCGCTAGCTCCTTCTCTCCAGTTATTTCTTCATAAAACACGTGCAATGTGAGCAATAAGCGTTTCGACTGTCAAGATATAGCGCTTTTCGACTGCATGCCGCTATCTCCGCTAGCGCAGTCACCAACTCAGTAAACGAAGTGAAATCGGTGTATGTAAATATATATATATATATATATATATATATATATATATATATATATATATATATATATATATATATATATATATATATATATATATATATATATATATATATATACTAAGACATGCGTCCACGTCATTGATATTCAGGCGAAGCATGAAACGTTGCCAGTTCCGCTGTTCTGGATGAAAGGCTTGAGTTCGAGTCTTTCTTTCTTTTTCAGAAAATGCGAACACCCAGCTACTTCTTCATATACAAGCAGGAAATACTGAAGCTCAAAGAAGAGGAGACTCCCGACTAGGCACTTCATTTCTAAATAAATACAAATTTTCTACGTTTACAGGCATAAACAATCGTTCGAGACAATCATGCGAGAAGAGTTGCTGCCTTGCCGAAAGTGTATGGCACCTGGTTACGTTATTTCGAAAGGACGAAATGTCTGAGCCACAGCTATGGTCAAGCGCACGGAGGCAATGGGTTTCCACGTGCATGCATCGTCACTGCGAATGGCTGAGTCAATAAGGGAATTTATATTGATATAGTTACAAAGTAAAAAAAAATCACAGCATATCCCCGGAGTGAATGATGATGAGTGGGGCGAAGCGTCCGTCAGCCCGTCCCTACTTCCATCCGTCAGTTCGTTTTTGCTTCCTACCGTCCGCGCGACCATCCGTGCATCCGTCCGTGAGTCCGTCCATCCATCTGTCTGTCTGTTCGTGTATCCATCCGTCTGTACGCTCGCGCGTCTATCCATCCGTCCGTCCGTGTGCTAGTCTGTCTGTCCGCCCGTGGGTTCATCTAGTGAACACTCTAAGTACCGCCATCTCCCATCTCGCATCCCCTGTGGCACATACCCGCTCTAAAGCGGGTATGTGCCACTGGTGGCTACGTACTACTACATTCATACTAGGGATGGACAGACCCACGCCTTAAGAAGCTTCGCCCCTAAAAAGCTGCTTGCTAATATAAAAACGAACTTAAGCCCTTTTCGTGCTGCACTTGTCATTACGCTTCGGCCTCCATCGCCGTCGGCATGAACATACGAGCCATGGGCATCACTGTTTTGTTTGGTTGGTAACAACTTCATGGTCCGGCAGAGCTTTCTCCGACCGGGCCACTGTTCTCTCTGACAATTTTTGCAGGAATCCTTAAGGCATGGCCAATGTGCTTGCTATGTTTTAGCAGCAAATATAGTAGTCCACGGTGAGTGAAGTCCTCCTCGTGGTTATGTACAACATCGGATTGACTCGTCAGCGTCAACAAGTCACCTGTACAGAGAGAGTGGGCTAGGAATCGGATCGGTGAGACAAAATTAACAAATTGACATTGTATTTTTGAGAAATTTCGCTTGGGACCTGTACGTAAAATCATTTTCCTCTCTTCATCATCGGTAAAAAGAGTGACGCCATGAGTCTCGTCTTTCTCTTTCTCCGTGTATAAGCTACTTGTATTTGCAGCTTGTTTTAATGCCAGAGAGAATTTTCCGCTTTATGTTCTACATTGAAATCCCCGTTACATGATGATGATGTTTTCATATCGGGCCGTATCTGGGGCCCGTTGCATGCAGAGAACAATGGCCACGTGTTTCTCAATGCATTTAACATGGTCGCTACGATAAGCTATCTACAATTCGATCTTCTCTGTCGAAAGAATTGCTCAAAACAACCGTCAGTTGTCTTGCCCATGACCATTTGCGATTTTCGCTAATCTATCGAGGATCAAGCAAATGGTCCTGCCAGAAATTTACCCCCTCGATCTATGACAAGGCTGGCTTAGCTACTGAGGTCGCACAATTTTTCAAACTTCCCATATTTGCTTTCTTAGAACTGTTCTGATGATGTACGAAAACACTCGGAACTGTTTTAAACTCCCCAAGGTTAACAGCGATACCCAGTGACGTGTGTTGACCTCCTCACGGTCTAGTTTTATGGAAAAGTTTCTCGCCTTCTTCGTCTCACCATAATCGGATACAATTATAAAAGACAGTGGCGTTTTCTTCTCAAAAGTGAATGTTTTTTTTTCATGAGACATATGCATCTCTGACAATCTCAAACGCGCAAAGAGTATAAGGTAAACATGTGGTAATCGATAATTTTCCAGACGTTCACAGAAACTGCTTTGTTTATTTAACACGTACACAAACTGCAACAGAGTGCATATGACGAGACGGGAGCTGAAGACAAGGACAAAGACAAACACAGAAAAAGAGAAAAAAAGGGGGAGGGTGGTGAACAAAGTTCAGAAAAAAGAGAGAAAAAAGAGGGGAGGGTGGGGAACAAAGTTCGCGCTGATCATCCCACCGGTACAAGCACACGTTCTTTTTTTTTTTTGCTCTTCTTTACATCTCACCCAACTTTCTTTCGGTGACACCTTCAAACAGTTGACGCATGACTGGGCCATGCTCTTGATACAACTCTCGTGGGTAAGATGGAGTGGACACGAGGCGAGAGACAGTCTGGTGGAGACCAATCGGGAAGTGGCGTGCACAACAGCGGACGGGTCTTCTCTTCTTCTCGGTGTAAGACACAGGCGATGGATGGTGGCAGGGTCAGTCGGTTGCGGCGGCTTCCCTGTGAGCGAGCGCGGCGCACAGGAAGAAGTCTCGGAGCGCGCTGAAGAAATTCCGCAGCGCCTCCCAGATGCGTGAGTTCTTTCGCTGCTGCTGCTCGGGTGGAACGTCGGACATCAGCGTCATGTCCGTCTGCACCGAGACATCCTTCACCTGCCGCGCCATCTCGGCGCAGAACTCTGCACTGGCAGCAGCCGCAACACTTGCCGTCCTACAACGCACAAAGGGAACCGCGCAATAGAAAAGAATGTGTGAGCATGGAGCGGGCCTTCAGCTATTCGGAATGATGCCCTGCAATGCATCCATTATTTTTTTTTTGAACAGTAAAGGTTCCCCTCTCAGCCGCCTCGCTGTGTGGACCAAGCTAAGCGTATCATTGGCTCCTTTTAGGGTCGAATGCTACCCGAGCTGCTTGTAAACACGTGACCAGGGAAGAATCGTCCCTAATGACGTCACTGGCAGGACGCCGCTGTGAAACTTGAATGAAAGCCAAGCATTTGCCTCATTCTGCCCAAGCAGCTCTATTTTGCCAGTTTCAGTGGCTGGCCCACATCGCGGTGGAGCAGTAACCTGCGCCCCGTCGCTTCGACGTCCTCGCTATACTGCCAGCACCACAAGACCACGATCGACAGCGACGATGTCAGCTCGAAGCGCAACATTCCTACCAATGGTAAGTGGCATTCCCGTCCACGTCACGCGATCTTGAGCTGTTAAGGTGTGAATACGCCTTTCCAGTCTGCAAAGCGTTGATACTTGCAAACACTGCAGATCGTCTGACAATCTAGCACACTCATGTATTGCGCAATGGCACTTTGTCACACTTATTCACTGCAAATCTTCAGATTACAATTATTGTAGCTGTATAAGAACTCTATGAAAGTGACCGCTGACAGCATTGTGCAGTGTTACGCTTACACTCTGTGGGCTGTCACTAATCGCAGTATCTGAAACTTGGTTTTATCTCGGTGCAAAGATACCGCAATGGAAATATATGCAATACCTGAGGTCAGACACTGTTGTATTTTTGCTAACAGACCGCTGGTGACTGCAGTCATCTCCACCCGCCGACTTGTGGATCTTCATTTCTTGCATTTGGCCGCACTCCAGCACTGCGGGCCCGGTCGATGGCGGCAGTTGCTGAGTGTTCAACGATGACACGTCCTCTGCTGATCGAATGATAGTAGGAGTATTCATTATTTAATCAAATAGTGGCTACGCGACTCCTCTATACGAAGTGCACACGACAAATACTCGCTTGTTCCACTCCGCCTGGAGCAGAATGCCTATTCCGCTCGTAAGGAAACGGCTATCATCGGTGCCTTGTTTCGGCAGACCATCCACGGCATGCTGCGCGCCCTGAGGATACGCTTTACAATTGTTTGCGGCGATAAAACCAAGAACAACAAACGTGTGAACACACTATCAGCGCGCTTTAGCACCAATTTTTGCTATCGCGTGCTTTCATCGCTTCCCACGCTTTTGTATCGCCAAGCGATCAACCAAATGTGATATCTGTGAAGTCTTATCTGCGCGCTGACCAAGGGTCATGCCTGGACGAGTCTCTGTGCCAGAGTACATTCCGTTCTCCGCCGCTGTGCCTCGGCCCGGGTCAATTAAAGATTCGCGAGAATTAAGTCTTCGTGAATATTCGATTAAAACTGCATCACCATGAGGTGCGTCACTTTTTGATATACATCGGTTGATATGTGGGGTTTAACGTCCCAAAACCACCATATGATTGTGAGAGACGCCGTAGTGGAGATCTCCGGAAATTTCGACCACCTGGGGTTCTTTAACGTGCACCCAAATCTGAGCACACGGGCTTGCAACATTTCCGCCTTCGGCGAAAATGCAGCCGCCGTAGCCGGGATTCTATCCCGCGACCTGCGGGTCAGCAGCCGAGTACCTTAGCCACTAGACCACCGCGGCGGGGCTTTTTGATATACATTGCATCTCCTGTTGATACGCGCTAGTATTGACACTGCCCCTGCTTTGTAGCTGCCGTGGTGGGCTAGGGGTTATGGCACTCTACTGCTAATTCGAACGTCGCGGGATGGAATCCCGGCAGCAGCGGCCGTATTTCTACGCAGGCGAAATGCTAAAAATCCGTGTGCTCATATTTGGGTGCACGTTAAAGAGCACCAAGTGGTCAAAACTTTCGGTTTTCACTTCAACGTTCCTCATAATCCAGACATCGTCTCTTAATGTTGCGATTTCGGGACGTAACATTCAGAGACGAATGTTTGCGTCGAAGTACTTGAGCAATTAAAAAGCAATTATTGCGCATATATGAGGCACCATAACAACACATCACTGTTTTGTATGTGTGGCTTTATACTAGAGAAGGCGCACATAAGTAATTCTAAGGACCGTAGCGTTTATCACGCTGCGCTGACAGTGAAACGCGATGCTCAAAGAGGCAAGTGTTTCCAACGCTTTGCTAAGACGACATGGTGGTGGCACCTGCCCGTCGCTTTGCGTTCTACTACTTATCACCTCCGAGATGGGCGCGCATCTTTCTCAACGGGCGCGCACACGTTCCTTTGTTTTCGAAGATGACTGTCAGATGGCGCTCGTGTCCAACGTGCCTCAATGCGCTTGTTCGCCTTCGCTAAACGTATCAAGACTCTCTAACGCAGCGCTCCCAGAATACAATTCACCGATTTTCTCGGGCAAGACATCAAATAAGCTTTTTGTTCACTTTCTCCACACGCAAGACTGCCGTCTTTCGA